GCCAAGGGGTCGGGACTGAGTGACCCACTGCCCTCCCCAGGCCCAGCTCTGCTCCAGCAGCCCCTGCAGCCCCGAAGGCCCACCCTCCCCATGCACCCTCTGCCGGGCGCCTGTCCACCCCCTCAGGCCCACCTCTTCTTGCCTCCCTGTCTCCACCCCGCCTGGCAGCAGGGCCGCGTCCCTGACCCTCCCCGCCCCCTGCCCCCGTGTGCTCACTCGCGGTTCTCCAGGGTGATGATGACGAGGATGGGCCGGCGGTTCATGCCCCCCACGCAGCTGCTGTTGCACATGAAGTTGTACAGGATGGTGGTGAACTCCGTCCCCACCTACAGGGGAGGGGCAAGGGCTTCAGTGTCAGCACGTGGGCCCCACCCACTGGGGTGGGGACTCCTGGCCTTCAAAGCACCATCCCTCACAGCTGGTCCTGGCCCTGGGGAGGCTTGGGGGGGGGCATGCTCTGTGGTCCTTTGTCATCGACCCCCCAATCCATCCACCCACCCATTCATCCACCCATCCACCTATCCATCCACCCATCCACCTATCCATCCATCCACCCATCCATCCATCATCTATCCATGCATCATCCATCCATCCATCCATCATCCATCCATCCATCCATCCACCCACCCTCTATCCATCCATCCATCCACTCATCTATCCATCCATCGACTCATCCATCCATCTATCCATCCATCATCCATTTATGCATCCTTCCATCCTCCCATCCATTCACCCTCTATCCACCCATCCACTCATCCATCCATCCATTCATCCATCCATGCATCCTTCCTTCCATCCATCCATCCATTCATTCATCCATCCATCCATCCACTAATCTGTCCATCCATCCACTCATCTGTCCATTTATCCATCCATCCATCCATCATCCATTTATGCATCCTTCCTTCCTTCCATCCATTCACCCTCTATCCATCCATCTACCCATCCACTCATCCATCCATCCATCCATCCATGCATCCTTCCTTCCATCCATCCATTCATCCATCCATCCATTAATCTGTCCATCCATCCACTCATCTGTCCATTTTTCCATCCATTTATGCATCCTTCCTTCCTTCCATCCATTCACCCTCTATCCATCCATCTACCCATCCACTCATCCATCCATCCATCCATCCATCCACCCACCCATCCATCCATCCATCCATCCATCCATCCATCCATCCATCCATCCATCCATCCATCCATCCATCCATCCATCCATCCATCCATCCATCCATCCATCCATCCATCCATCCATCCATCCATCCATCCATCCATCCATCCATCCATCCATCCATCCATCCATCCATTCATCTATCCATCCCTCCGTCCCCCATCCATGCAACTGTTCACTCATGTGAATGCCAAGCACTGTGCTGGCTCTGGGTACCAAATGAGCTCAGACCTGGCCAAGAGGCACAGAGTGCTATGGTCTGGTTGCCTGACCATCGCTCCTGGCACAGGTTGGAGGTCAAGTCCTGGAGGCTGGGTGCGAGTGGGCACAGGTGTGTATGTGCACGGTGTGGGCTCTCCTGGGCACAAGGGTGCCCTGCACTGCCGGGCAGACACCCGGCCCCAGCACACACCGCCTAATGGAAGTGGACACACAGGCTGCTGACAGGGAGTGTGTGGAGGACTGAGACTTGAACCCAGAACACCTGACCACAAAATGGGAGGTTGTCATGGTTTCCCGGCTCAGAATATAACCGCCAGTCACTGGCTTAGGAAAACTGAGCCTTTCACAGAACAGCCAGCAGGGGGCAGGAGAGCCCTGCTTTCTAGGCCAGGCCAGCCCTGGCTGGTGAAGGTGGGGCCAGGGTGAAGGGGGAGAGAGGGCAGGGCAATCACACCCAACCTGGGCCCTTGTCCCACTAAGCTAAGTGCTGC